TTCCAACCCTTTCTCCCACCATTTCACGCCCAAAATTGAAAGGCAAGGGGGTGTTCTCACCTCTCTATCTTTTACTTGCTTTCTTTGGTTGAAATTGTGTAAAATCTTGGAAAAGTTTCATTTTTATCTTCAATAATTTTGAACAAGCTCATTGTATCATTTGCATGTTGAGTTCCACTTGATTTCTTCACATTTATTGCCTCTAAGTTTACGGTTTATGTGTGAATGAGGTAATCCCCTTGAAAGCTTGCATTTTTTACATTTGTATGTTGTTTCCTTCTTGTGCATGTCTCTGTTGTACACTTATTTTGCTGAAATTCTTGTTCAAATGATGATCCACCCTTGAAATCATGTAACCATGAGCTTGGATGACAATTTCCTTCAATTGCATGTTGAGTTTTGCCTTGTACTTCATTTTTGTCACTTCTAAATTCTTAGTTGTATGCTTGGATGAGTTGGACCCTTTGAAAGTTTGAATTATTATCCTTCGCATGTTGAATCTTTTGGTGCATGTCTCGGTTTTTGCACTTGTCTTGGCTGAATCTTTGGTTCAAATGATGGTTTACCCTTGGAGTCATGGAACTGTGAAATTATTTGTTAAAATCCTCTTCTTGCATGTTGATTTTGAACCTTGAAGGTTTCAGTTTTCTACTTCCTAAACTTAATATTAGTTTCTAACCAATAATCTTGCACTTGGCTACTCAAATGATGCCTTGCATGCCTTGAATTCCTTATTCTTTTGAGATCTATCCCTTTTTAAATAAGTGTACTCTTTTGGATCACGAAAATGAAAAGTTTAAGTGCTGAAAACCCTTATGTACTGCCTCGGTTTAGACTTTTTAAACATAATCCTTTGCTAAAAATTAAAGTACTGCACTTGGATGATGGAACCTTGTATTTGCATGTTGATTTTTCCCTATTTTACTTGTTACGGACTTGATAAAAAAAATGAGATTTTGAAGGCTGGACAGTTTTGAGTATTATGAGGAAAAAGGTTGAAATTTATGTGTTTTGGAACCTTGGAATATTTGGAAAAGATTGGTATGAGTAATAAGAGAAAATTTTATAAAGGAAAAGGTGAAAATTAGCTTAGATGGTCTCGGTTTTGGCATTAAAAAAAAAGTGTTGCAAGGATTTAGAAAAATATTTTGTATGCCTTGTTTTGTGTAAGGAAGCAAAAGTGAAATTGAAAGTGTCTTGCCATGACTTGATTTGATTGAACCATGCTGAAATTACTTGTTTGAGAGGTTGATGGTTGCTTGTAAATTTTGCATGATTGACCTTGGATGAAAATTAGTGCAAGACTTGAATTTACTTGATTTTGGATGTGGAAATTCATGAAATTTACTTGAGTAAATTGCTGGAAAAAAATGTGATGATGTGAGATATGTGATCGCGAGTGTCGCTCTCGGACAAATTAATAAAAACCGAATTGCATAAAAATTATGCAGTAAGAGGTGCAATCCGAGTCATCTCCCAATGATGATAACGTTATACGATTATAAAATTTTTAGAAGGGGTTTGATTTATAGAATAACTAATTAGAATCAAAAGTTAAAAATAATTAAAAACTCTAATCCAAAAATTTAGAAGAAATACGACCACTCTATCACTGGATTCCAAGAAGATGCATCAACCAACAAATTAGTGATTAACATTAAATTCGAATGAAACATCAATTCAAATTAAGCATTCACACGAGAACCCTCATGCATTCGATTAACACATAATTCGCTCAAAGTTCAGAAACCTCTAGAACCTAATCGATTTGTGTTAATTTAATTCACCAATGCCATTAATCTTAGATCTCAAATCTGAAAATCTAATTCACACTTCTTCAAGAATTAATTACATACATCAACTGAATAATATGTAATCAAACAATTGCATAATTATCAATCCAAATGAAGAACTTCAATTCAAAATCATAATTAGCAAAAGGAGAAAGACGAAAGAGATGAAACTGAATTTGTTGTTGAATAAATTGCGAAACCGATCCTCAAGAGTGTCTTAGTCCTTTTTCAATCCTTGGACTAAATGAAAGTATAAGCCTCCATGGATGGAGGGAAACAAGTCATAAAAGGGGAGAAAAAAAAATGAAAAACAGAGAAAAGAGAGAAGAAGAGAGGAGAGGAGCCAAAAACAACTTAAAATTCAAAATTCAAAATTCAAAAATTCCATTTGTCACTTTGTTCCATTTTTTCGGCTATGAAAACGGCCTCCTTTTGGTTCGTGGCCTGAAGGAAAATTGTAGCCATGAATGTTAGCTTCAAAACGCCACTAGCATGGGCTTAATCGGATATCTGTGGACTGAGATATGGCCCAAATACTGAACCTTGCTCAGGATCTGCGACTACAGCGTTTTGACTTTTTCCAGGCCCAGTTTCAGCTTCTTATCATCAGAATTGGTTTCTGACCTCTCATAGAAATTGTGCACCTTTCTCTTAGCTTTCTTACAAATCAAGAATCACAATGAAAGGAGTTATACAACTCAAGATATGGTCCAGAAACCAAAACAGTATCAGAATTTACCAAATACTGGAAAAATTAAATAAAGCCCAAATAAAATTCAAACATCATAAAATGATCCAATTCAACAAATTAAGCACAAAAGAGGATTACTGAGCTAGGAATGAGAGGAAATAATGTTATAAAAATCCAATTGATCAAATTCCCCCACACTTAACTCTTGCATGTCCTTATGTAAGACACAATCAAGCAAATAAAAACATGTAACCTAAAAATCATAGAATAATCAAAACAAATAAACAAATTCTCCAATGAATCCTTAGAAGTGCTGAACTTAGGGATACAAGATCAAATAAAGCATCAAGAGTTCTACAACAATCAAACATCTAACTCCCAACCTCTCAAAAAAATTGCAAGCCAAGCAATATCATTCAAAGTGTATAGATCAAGCATGAAAGATCCACGAGATGGTGTATATAACTGATGAATCCATATTTTACTAGTATTTTACAATAGTTTTTAGTGCAATTAATAAAGAAAACATGCTTGAAATAGTAGAAAACCCTTAAAAAATAATAAAATGTTGCATGTCACTTTTAAACATAGTTATTTTAAAATTCATTGATTTTCTATGTAAAAAGTGACATTTCAAGTATGCTTTTGTAGGGAATTCTGAGCTAAGTTCATGAGGATTGGATGATCAAAGGAAAAATAGAAGAAAAGTAGCAAAAATTGGAAGAAAGAAGTTGATAATTGAAGAACAGCCTCTGAGTGATCACTTTCACTAGTGAAAGTGATCACTCCAGAACCATAAAATGAAGAAGAGCTTCTGCGTAATCACTTTTGTTGGCAAAATTGATCGTTCCAGAGAGGTTGCAATGAGAAGAGCTTCTGCGTAATCACTTTTTTTGAAAAAAGTGAGCGTTCCAAAGAGTCCTCCAAGAAGAGTAGCTGCGCGTGTTCACTATTATCCACAAAAGTGAACAAGCGCAAGAAGGTAGTTTCTGCGTGTTCACTATTTCTAGCAGAAGTGAACACACGCATGACATTAGTAAGGGAAGCTTCTGCGTGGCTACTATTTTCAACAAAAGTGAACACTTTGAAGTGCGTGTGGCTACTATCACCAGCAAAAGTGAACACGCGCAAGTGGAAATGAAGAATTAGCCTCTGCGTGATTACTATTGTTGGAAAAAGTGATCACGCCAGCAGAGCAGGAATTCTATAAAAGGCAGTTAGCTCAGGAATTTAGGGAGTTTTTTTGTTCATTTTTTTTTTCCATTTGTTTTTGTTGTTGAAAGAGTCAGAGAGGGAGATTGAGGACGAACACCAAGCTTCATTTCTTGAGGGATCAGATTGGAGATTGGCTTGAAGATGTTTCTTCTTTGTTCATTCTCTTCTTCTCTTCTCTTTTTGTAATGTTTGCCTAAACTCTTTGTGGTTAGGAATTGTGAATCTGAAATGGAAATGTTGAATTGATTTTGGATCTGAACTTTGAGTTTTGGATTGGATTGAGTGATTGATTCTGCTGTTAAAGTAGTGATTGAATGGAAATTTGATCAACTAATCATAGAGGAACTCTTATCAATGGGAATTGAATTTGTTTCTCAGATCTGAATTAATTGCCAAGGTTATTGGTTTCTCAGGGATAAGATATCTTAATCTTGCAATCTTTTGGTTTCTCAAACTTAATGCAGCATTTGATTGGATTAGATCTAAGGGATTAGAGTGATTTGATTAGATGCTAGATTCATTGAGGCAAGGGATTGTCCTTTGATTAATATAACGTGACACTGATTGTCATTTCATCTAAATGCTTGAAAGTTCAGAACTTTATTGATTCAATGTTGAAGTTTTGGTGAAACAATTTCCTAACTACTTTTTCTACATCTGTTTACTATATACTTTTGTACTAACCATTCTGTTTTACTTTCTAATTTCGTTTTTGATACATTCATACCAAATCCATCTGAAATTTGTGAAGCTCAACTAATTGTGATCTTGTGAAGTGGTAATTGAGAACTTTATTCCCTGAGGACGATACTTGGAACTCAATTTGATTCTAAGATTTTTTTTTATAACTTGCTACAACAACACTAGTACACTTGCTAGTCAGTTTACTTTCAGTGCAACAGCAATTGTGAAAGTAACAATAACTCAACTCTCAAGTGTATAGTTCAAAGTGTTTCACTCAAGTCACCTCAAAAGACAATGCATTACCATAAGCTTGTTAATCTTCTACTTCTCCACTACTTACAATCATATGCAAACACAAATCAAGAGGGCTTTATTCAATGGTAGTAATGGGGCTAATGTAAGGGTAGGGAAATATGAGGATATGACAAGATACAACCGAAGAGAATAGGAATAACATTGGTCCTTAGACAAATCAAGCCATAACACATATACATTTATTCTCTTTGGACTTCCTTTTCCCTGCATCAAAATTTCCCCATTTTCTTTGTAATAATTTTTTTTATTATTTCTTTTTCTTCATTTTTTTTTCTTTTTCTTCTTGCATTCTTTCCGAACCCCTACACTTGAAATGCAATAACATTAATGAAACCAATGCACTCCCTATTCCCTAAGGTTAGGTATAACATAGTTTTCCACTTAAAGCTTATAATGTGCTAAAAGCCAAAGAATGGTCAAAAAGGCTCAAAGGGGCTAAACAAAGGGCAAAATGCAATGTAAGCTATATGGCCAAGTGAGTACAAATTTGAACAAATTTGAAAAAAAAAATGTCTCTATCATGTTCATAATTGCATATGAAAATTGTAGCCTCAAAGAAGAATCAAAACAAGTTCTAGAATGACAAAATCTAAGAGGGAAAACACACAAGAAAGAAAAGAATGGCAAGAATTTCAACCATCCAAAAATAAGGCTCGAAAGCTCACAAAGGTAAAGTCTAACATACTCAATCATACAAATCAAAATCAATCACCCAATTCACATATATCAAGAGGAAGAAGCAAAAATGAAATCATGTAGGAACTCTATCATCCTTAATGACTAATGCCTTAACTCAACAACTTCCAATTCAACAAAGCAAAACAAAACAAAACAAAAACAATGCTAAATAATAAAGTTACTCTCCCCCCTCCCCCACACTTCAACTTTACATTGTCCTCAATGTAATGTATAATGGAAATGTAAAATATAGTAAAGAAAAGGCAGAGGGGAGCTCCCTAATAAAAGCATAAGTGGCTGCTAGCAAGCGGACCTCCTCAATGGTCTCCAAGGGTGTGTCTTCATGAAAAGGCTTCAAGCGGTGGCCATTCACTGTGAATACTTTATCTGTTCCAGGCTCCAAAATCTGTATAGCACCATATGGAAAAATCTTAGTTACCATATAGGGGCCAAGCCACCTAGAACGAAACTTACCAGAAAAGAGCTTGAGGCGAGAATTGTAGAGAAGCACTTTCTGGCCTATGGAGAATTCCTTCCACAACAACATCTTATCATGAATAAGTTTTGTCTTTTCTTTGTACATGCGGGAGTTCTCATAGGCTTCCAACTGAATCTCCTCTAACTCCTGAAGTTGGAACTTCCTATGAAGTCCGGACTGGCTCATATCAAAGTTACAGTTCTTAACTGCCCAATATGCTTTGTGTTCAATTTCCACCGGAAGGTGGCATGCCTTGCCAAAGACAATTCTATAAGGGGACATTCCCAAAGGGGTCTTGTAGGCAGTGCGGTAAGCCCATAGTGCATCTTCAAGCCTCTTGCTCCAATCCTTCCTGTTTGTCTGAACTGTTTTCTCCAGAATATGTTTCAGTTCCCTATTTGATACCTCTGCCTATCCATTAGTCTGCGGATGGTATAGAGTTGAAACCTTGTGAGTGACACCATATTTCTTTAGTAGGGATGCCATGTTCTTGTTACAGAAATGGCTTCCTTGATCACTGATGATTGCCCGGGGCACTCCAAACCTGCAAAGAATGTGTGATTTGACAAAATCTACAACAACATGAGAATCATCAGTTCGGATGGCCTTGGCCTCCACCCACTTGGAGACATAATCAACAGCCAACAAAATATAAACAAAACCAAATGAGATAGGAAATGGACCCATAAAATCAATACCCCAAACATCAAATATCTCACAAAACAATAATGGTTGTTAAGGCATCTCATTTCTACGCGAGATAGTACCCATCTTCTGACATTGTTCACAATTCTTACAATAGGTGTAGGAAACTCGAAACAATGTAGGCCAGTAAAAACCTGCATCTAAGACCTTTCTAGCAGTGCGTTGTGACCCAATATGACCACCACAAGCAAGTGTATGACAAAAATGCAAAATGGAAGGAATCTCAAGCTCATGCACACAGCGCCTAATAATCTGATCACTACACATGCGCCACAAATAAGGATCATCCCAGACATAATATTTAGCCTCACTCCTAAGTTTCTCTATCTGATGCTTTTTAAAATAAGCAAGCAATTCAGAGGCAACTAGATAGTTAACCAAGTCAGCATACCACGGGTCCTTACCTCGCAGCTCTAAAAGCTGCTCATCTGGAAAGTTCTCACGAATAGGTAGAGGCTCCAAAGTTTGTGAAATTTGACTCAAGGGGTCTGCCACCATGTCTTAGCTCCACTCTTATCATTGATCTCTATGTCAAACTCCACCAACAGCAACATCCACCTGATGAGTCTGGGCTTAGGATCCGGCTTCTTTAATAGGAACTTCAATGCTGCATGATCAGAGAAAACAGTCACTTTAGTTCCTAATAGATAAGCACGAAATATATCTAAAGCAAAAATGATAGCCAGAAGCTCTTTTTCTGTAGTGGTGTAGTTAGCCTGTGCAGAATCCAAAGTCCGAGAAGCATATGCTATGACATGAGGGGTCTTTCCAATTCTCTAGGAAAGTACAGCTCCAATGCAAGGTTTGATGCATCACATATGAGCTCAAACAGATACTCCCAGTTCGGTGACTGTAGGACAGGAGCAGAAATTAGGTGCCGCTTCAATTGATTGAAAGCTCTCCTGCACTCGTCATCAAACTGGAAGTCTATATCCTTCTGCAGAAGCTTGGAAAGTGGAAGGGCGACTTTACTGAAATCCTGGATAAATTGCCTGTAAAAACCTACATGACCAAGAAGAGAACGCACTTCCCGCACGCATGTAGGGTAAGGTAAAGAAGCAATAACATCAATCTTGGAACTATCAACAGCTATACCCTCACCAGAAATAACATGTCCTAAGACTACACCTTGCCTAACCATAAAATGACACTTTTCATAATTCAAAACAAGGTGAGACTCAACACATCTATTCAATACCCTAGCAAGGCTATCCAAGCATGCATAAAATGAAGTACCATAAACAGTAAAATCATCCATGAAGACTTCCATGCAATTCTCTAGAAAATTAGAAAAAATGCTCACCATGCATCTCTGAAACATACCTGGGGCATTGTATAGACCGAAAGGCATTCTCCGGTATACAAATGTACCGAATGGACAGGTGAAAGTTGTCTTCTCTTGATCCTTAGGTGCAATGTGAATATGAAAATAACCAGAGAATCCATCAAGAAAACAGTAATGTGACTGACCTGCCAATCTTTCCAGCATCTGATCAATGAAGGGCAATGGGAAGTGGTCCTTCTTGGTGGCCTGGTTCAGCTTCCTATAATCAATGCAAACTCTCCAGCTATTCTGCACTCTTGTGGGAACTAGCTCATCCTTCGAGTTCTTTACTACTGTTATTCGAGTCTTTTTTGGAACTACTTGCATCGGGCTCACCCACTTGCTGTCTGAAATTGGGTAAATGATGCCAGCAGCTAGAAGCTTGGTAACTTCTTTCTTGACCACATCCAAAATCAGAGGGTTCAATCTCCTCTGAGGCTGCCTCACTGGTTTTACTCCCTCCTCTAACTGAATTTTGTGCATGCATGTGGAGGGGCTAATCCCAGGTATGTCAGCCAATGTCCAGCCTAAAGCATTTATGTTTTGCCTCAGAATGTTTAGCAACTTCTCTTCTTGTTCTGGTTGCAAATCCTGGGCTATTATGACTGGCAGCTTCTCATCTGGTGCCAAGAATGCATACTTCAAATTTTCTGGTAAAGGTTTCAGCTCCAAGATGGGTGGCTCTTGTATGGAGGGTGCTAATCTTGGAATTTGCTCTGTTTTTCTAATTTCAGTACCTGCAACATGTGAAAAGTCTTGCACAAGAGCATTATCATATCCCACAACAGAAAGATCAGCATAAGAGTTATTTGCACAACCCACAGAATAATCAAAATATGCACAATCAGTATTTTCCACTACTGTAAAACTAGAATCAGAATCTGTTCTAATAACATCATAACTTAAACTTCCAGGATCAGCATGTAACTCCTCAGATACATATATGTATGCATTAAATTCGGCACAAACAGCACATAAATCATGAATTCCATCACAATCTGAACATTGAAAGTCATCTCTAATACCTACAATTTCAGGAAACTCAGCACACAAATTCTCATGCATATCATTAACCAATGTATCAATGATATCTAAATGAAACACAGAATGCTCTTCTGGTGGATATCTCATGGCATCATGTAGTTTAAAATGCACCTTGTTATCTCCAAATTCCATGGATAAAGTACCAGAGTGTACATCAATCTTAGTTTTAGCAGTTTTCAAAAATGGCCTACCAAAGATCAATGTTGGTTGAATAACATCATCCTCCATGTTTAACACATAAAAATCAGCAGGAAAAATAAGATCATTTACTCTTACCAACACGTCTTCTAAAACTCCCTCAGGGTGTGCTGTGCTTCGGTTGGCAAGTTGGATCACCACTCCCATTGGCTTGAGCTTTCCAATGTGCAAAGACTGGTAGACTGATTTTGGCATCACATTGATTGAAGCTCCAAGGTCCAACATGGCTTGACTGAATTGCTCGCTTCCTATGATGCATGGAATGGTGAAAGTCCCAGGATCCTTGCATTTTGGAGGAATGCTTGGCTGAATGATGGCAGAAACATTTCTGCCCATGCTCACTTTTTCATTTCCCTTTAGCCTTCTTCTATGAGTGCACAAGTCCTTAAGAAACTTGGCATACTTTGGAATCTGTTTGATAGCTTCTAGGAATGGAATATTGACTTCAACTTTCCTAAAAGTTTCCATGATCTCCTTGTCCATCTCTGCCTCGCTATCTTCTTATTTTGAGTCACTCTATTTGGAAAAGGCAGCGGAATGTTTCGTTCAGAATGGCTACTGTCTCTCTTGTTGGATGGCTCTGGTTGCTCTTCAGTTGCATCTATCTTTGCAGAAGTTGATTTTTCTGCTGCAGCATTTGGAACTTTAAGCTGCTTACCACTTCTCAAAGTGACGACGCTCACATTCCTTGGATTACTCACAGATTGGGAGGGAAGGTTGCCAGAACCTTGGGATTTCAGCTCATTTACTGTTGTAGCCAACTGACTAATCTGTGTTTGCAAATTCTGGATGCTGGCTTCTGTTCTCTGCTGAAACTGGACATTGCTGGTTGCCATCTGCTGCTAGACTCGGTTATGAGCTACTGCTTTGTGGTTGGTCTGGTTTAGCTTGCTGTGAAAATTGCTGCCTCATGTTTGGTTTTGCAACATGGTGCCTGAACTGATATTGAGGTTGTTGTTGTTGCTGCTGCTGGAACTGATTAGAATTACCATACCTCAGATTCGAGTGATCTCTCCATCCGGGATTGTATGTATTGGAAAAAGGGTCATAATTCCTTTGCTGCTGCTGTTGTTGGAAAGGTTTTCCAGGATAAATTCCAGCAACTGTTTCATTGGTTTCTTGCATCTATGGACATTGATTTGTTGCGTGACCTGGTACACAGCAAATTCCACAAATGCTTGCTGCTGCTGCGGTTGCTGTGTCTGACCGAGTGCCAAATGCCTCACCAAAGTTGTCAACTCTTCTATTCTGTTCCCCATCCTTTGCTGGTTTGTATCAGAGGTCTTCACTTCATTCACTCCTCTTGTAGACACCATGGCTCGAGTACCATACTGTTGTGCATTGGCAGCTATGTTTGCAATCAATTCACGAGCTGCAGTGGGAGTTTTGTCTACCAAAGCCCCTCCAGAAGCAGCATCAACCATACTTCTATCCATTAGCATGAGACCTTCGTAAAAATATTGAATGAGGAGCTGGTCGCTGATTTGATGGTGTGGACAACTTGCACACAATTTCTTGAACCTTTCCCAATACTCATGTAGAGTCTCTCCAGTAATCTGCCTTATGCCACAAATTTCTTTCCTAATAGAAGCAGCTCTTGAGGTAGGGAAGAACTTCTCCAAGAACATCCTCTTCATGTCTTACCGGCTTGTGATGGAACCAGATGCAAGTAGTACAACCAATCCTTGGCAGATCCATCCAAAGAAAAAGGAAATGCCCTCAGCTTGATGTGGTCCTCCTCCACTCCATGCGGTTTCATGGTTGAGCACACCACATGGAATTCCTTCAAGTGCTTGTGAAGGTCTTCACTAGCTAAACCATGAAACTTGGGCAGCAGGTGTATCAGCCCTGACTTGAGCTCAAAGTCTGCATAGCGTGATAGTTAATATCAGGTGCTACAAGTTCCTTCAAAGTTCTATTAGCCATATTAATAATATCCTCGGAATCAGAATGCAAAGACTCAGACTCAGACTCAGACTCAGAATGCACAGAATGATTAACACTACTAATAGAACCTACACTATTATCAACTTGAATATTAGTAAAGGAAAGCCTTCTATGTGTTCTAATTAAATGATGAAATGTCCTATCAATTTCAGCATTAAAACGATGCAATTCACTAGGGTTAGCTCGTGTCATGCAACATCAGACACATAAGAATGTTGGACACACAGTATGCCGACAGAATGCTAATAGGGAAATAAAACCAACGAAATAATTTTTAAAAAATATAGGACCACCACAGAAGTACTAGAAATAAAATTTTCTATTTTTCAGAATTTTTTTACTATTTTTAAAAATCCTAAAATACAAAAAAAATTGAAAAAGTGGTCTAAACGATGGAATTTTGGAATTACAGGGGTGCACCACTCAATTTAGGGATTGTGTGGTATTGATCCTTGAATTTTTCTGCAATGTCTGACCAAGTTTCAGCTCAATCCGAGTTAGTCGCCAGAAAAATTACCTTTTTACCCTTTTGTAGAAAAACACCTACCAGATGAAGGAATTTGTGGGAGCTCCTTTGGACAAAGTTGATCAGCATGATGAATGCTATTTGGACACCAAAATTCAGCCTCAAACTCCAAACTCAAACTGGTAGTGAAGTTTCCACCTACAAGACTCACAATAAATACCTCAACGCAAAACGCAAAAACGCAAAACGAAATAAAAACACAGAACGCAAAACACAATAAGGAAGATTAACACTCTAAATATGTTAAAAACGCCAGTGATTCCCCGGAAAACCTTCATGCATTCGATTAGCGCATAATTAATTAAAATTCAGAAAACTCTAGAACCTAATTGAATCGTGTCAATTTGCGATCAATCAATCCTCAAGAGTGTCATGTCTCTTTTAATCCTTGAATTAGATGGAAATCTAAGTCTCCATGGATGGAGGGAAACAAGTCATAAAACGGGAGAAAAAAAAATG